CTGAAAAGTCCAGTCTCGGCCCCCAAATCCAACTTACTGCTCTGTATAGCCCTTTCTAAAGTGTGGGCTAGATATTTCACAGATAAGGCTGAAAATAAATTTAAATTCTCCTCCATTTACATTACACCACCAAAAGATGGCATATAATATATAGAATAAAGATATACTAAGCAAGCTTTTTGCTAACAGCCCCAACTGCAACTCAACGGACTTTTTCTGCAACAGAATGAGTTCTGTGATTGGAGGATTGTTTTAATTTAAAGCAAAACAGCTTGAATGTACCAATAATGCCTAAATTGTAAGAATGCAACTTAACAAACCATATTCTTTATTAACTGTGTTTCAAGATACTGATTTGTTGCTGAAATGTGCAATGCAAATAAACCTGCTCATTTTTTCTATTGTTGAAAATTGACTTGTAATTATGTTGTGTCCCTGCATTGATACAAGGTTTTTAATTTCCACATCCAAATGCATCTAAGAATCAACAAGTTTCATCATCATCTGAATTAGTAATGGGTCTGGAAGGGTATAGTATTTATCAGCAATTATATGTCTTCTATTATTATTAGTTTTTTCAATAAAGAAGAGTTTGTCTTTCCTATGTTAGCGATATTTCAGTTGGTTATGTTCTCAAAACAAACAGCATTAAATAGAACCTGCTGAATAGAACCTAGTTCCAACAAAACAGTTTTTCCCCATGTATTTATTTTTTTCCCCCTTCCCTCAGATTTTATTGTCTGGATAATTTAATATATAACCAGACCATGGAAAAAACCCACATCTTACAACACATTGGTATTCCCAGGGAAACTTCTGTCTAGGTTTTAACTCTGCCCAACCTCGTTTAGCTTCAGAGATCAGTGGGCTGCCATTGTGTGGTGCCCAGGGAGCAGTGTGGGGTTAAGGGTCTTGCTTAGATACCCAGAGTGACAGTCTATGGGAGTGGGGCTTGAGCTCAGAACCTTAGGATTCCAATCGCATTGCCCTAACCACTAGGCCGCCACACCCCTTAATAAAAATTTAATAAATTTTTTGTATTTCTTTTGTCTTTATCTGCAACAGAGTGAATGTATTTTTCAACTATTTCCTGAAATTCTTAGCTGTGTCTCATTAAACCAGGTGGCTAAAAGTTCAGTCACAAAATGACACACAAAAAAACAAATATCTCCATCAAACAATGGAATCTGAACAAATAATGACTTGAGGTTCTGGAAAGAAATGCCCTCAAAAGCATCTTACCAGTTTATGTTGTTTAGTTTCTCCTGTACATTTTGTCCCAATCCCCTCCACAGTGTTGCCAAACTCTTCAAACATTAATATTGCATTGTATTATAGCTTCATGGTGGGTATTCTTCACTCATTCCTGAACTGGGGATGCACCCTGTTGTCCCTTGCAAGCAGCAAAATAAATTGTCAAGTGTTTATGCCTTAGAGATCTCAGTGGGAGCTGTGGGCCATGGGCATGTTCTGCATGTCAGTGATAAAAAAAAACAAAAAACAAAATCACAATTCAAAACAAGAGCTAAGAAAGCAGTAAAGGTGGCTGAGAATGGGACAGATCGAACTGCTTCCATACTCATACAGTGGAGTTCTTATTTATGGTGAGCTACACTCACCTTCCTGCATTTTATAGGATCATTTTTGTGTCTCTATGACAATTTTTTTTTTTTTGAACATGACTATAAATGCAATACATGATTCATGTTTCTGGCTGTTTTTTATATCATATGTTGACTATTCCTTTCACTGGTTTTTCACATCTCACTACACTCCATACCGCTCTAACATGCACACTTGTGCTTGTCTAGATATCTCAGCTTGTGCTCTTAAGTTAAAATCCGCTTTCAGCCACAGCATTAGATTAAGTGAAGTTTTATGCAGATGAAATCCAGTTACTTGTAGTCAGGCTGTCTTTGGGATCATAACACTGTTTCTGCAACTTCTGCCCATTACCTAACCTGCCTGGTTATTCCTACAAACGATCTGCTTTGACGTTTTGTTTTATTTTTGACCCTCATTTGACCTCCGACTCCTCTCTGCCTTGTGAATTGTTGAACCAGTCAAACAGTAGACCCTAATGTCCCTGAATGTAAATAACCTGGGCATATTTTACCCCATGTTGCTACCATCCTAATTCAGTCACTCACTTGCATGGCTAAATGAAAAATATTCTGGGTTGCACTTTAAGCTCCTAAGGAGGATTTGCTCACTTATCTCCCCTGGGATCTTCTACTCACTTTTGGAATGACAATCCCAACATGAGCAAGATTGTGGTAACATGTACTCATCTCTCTCTGCTTCAGATATGTGTGAGGTTCCTGTGATACTCTATAAAAAACTGCTAAATTCCTTTTTAAAAACAACGACACACCTGTTTCATTCTGTATGTGGCCTAGATGTTTTTGGGGCTCCAAAGAATGCTTACCCTTTTTAGACTTGGTCCTGTTTTACTATGACACAACAGTATAAGTAAAGATTATACTCCTCATCTTCTGCCTATATAGGACTGGGTTTTGGGAGCACAGGAGTCCAGGAAGAGACTTCCAGACTTTGCTTTCCAATTGCTGTGGCCCTCCCAGGCCAGCCGAATGACATTGTCCCTTGGGCGTGTCATGCATCTTTCCCAGGGCTGCACTCCAGTAGATCATGCCTGAAACACCTTCCAAGAAGGGAATCCAAAAAAATCAGGATTTCAGAGCAACCTCCTCTTGATGTGAAGGAGAATCACCTCTTTCCCAAATGACCAAGCTCCTCACTCTATCACTAAGCAAGTGACCAGCCACCTTGGGGAGAAAGCTAATTTCAGCCGCTTGTAACAAAGATCTTGTTCTTTCAGTCATGACTGAGATTTCATGACCATAGATGAGAGCAAGAATGTAGACCGACCACTGAAGGGAGAGCTTTTTCTTTTGGCTCAGCTCTCTCTTGCCCACAACAGAACAAGGTGCCATCCATAATATAGCAGCAGCCACACCGATTTGTCCATTGATCTCCTACTCTATTCTCCCATCATTCCCAAGATCCTTGAACCTTTTTCGTGTCTAGAACCATGGCCTCAGACCTTTTAGAGCTGATCTTCATCTTGGCTATTTTCCAATCAGCTGCAAACCATCCCACTGCATGTTGTAGGTCTCGGCCGGAAAAAGCAGATATCAAATCGACTGGTCACCAAACCAGACCGCCCTCAGCCCTTGCCTGTGCATAGAAATCCTGTCCATAAAGGTTATGATTAGGACCAGTGACAGAGGGCAGCACCATCTGAGTCCAACATGCACTGAAAACCAACCGACCAAATGCCGGCAATGCAGACTAAATTCCTGCTTCGCTAGTCCAGTGATCGGATGGCATCTGCGAAAGGGTCCCTGATGCCATACTCCTGGAGCACCCCCCAAAGGACATCATGAGGGACAGTTTCAAATGCCTCCTCCAGGTCCGAAAAACACATGTGGCCGAGTATGGCAAATTCCAATGAGCTCTTCAGCCTTCTGCAGAGGATGTAGAGTTGTTCCATTATTCCACAGGTATGTTGAAAACCACACTTCTCCACCTATAGCATGGCTTCAACAATTAGCTGGACTCTCCTCTCCAGCACTTTACATAATAAGTAAAGCTGATATTTCATATTCTCTAAATGCTTACAAAAAAAGAAAGAATATCCAGCTGATGCTTTTTTGTCATCCAAGACATCAATTTCCATAAGGTATTGTCATCTTTTCCTAATTGAATGTATTAAAATATGGAATCATACTTTCATTCAAATTATTTCCTAGTTTTATTCCTTAATTGGAATACAAATCTTATGTAAAATTATTTGTGCAAATGTATTTTTCTTTTAATTTAATTTGCTTCAATTTCTTTTGAGGTTTCTTTTCATTTTAAATTTACCCGATGATTAAATTCTCTTCATTGTGACTTAATCTGTTTTGTATCACATCTACATGTGTAAGCGCTGCTGTTGCCCTAAACATTTAAACAGCCACAGTGGATATAACAATTATATGCAACTATAATAAAATACTAGATATTTGTTTCAAAAAAAAAACATGAATGATCAGCTTTAAGAAACCACGATCCTCTATAACTTTATCAAAAAACAAACCCGTCCTTGAGGGGGGAAATTAATATTTGACCTTGCTCAAAGTGAATGGAATTATGTGTATCCAAATACTAGTCTATGATGGCACATGTGCAGGTTTTTAAAGGTCTTAAAAGCTCAAGATAAAGGGGGACTTCAACTTTCAGCAGAAAAAATATTTCTAAATAAACAAAACTGCAGCTTCAATAGAAAAAAAAAACTAAAAAGAGTCAAGGTTGAAATCTAACTGTTATAGAACATATAATAAAAAGAAAAAAAAAACTAAAAAGAGTCAAGGTTGAAATCTAACTGTTATAGAACATATAATAAAAAGTGAGATGTGAAACTTTGCACAATCGAGATGAGGTATGTATGACTTTTGACACCAAATAATTTAAGGGGTTTTACATTTGAGGTGTTTAGGCTACATATTAAAGGTGAAAAAAGTTCAAAATGGGATTTGGCTTAAGACCACGTTCCAGACAAAGAAAATAAGTCATTTACTCATGTTTGAAAAACTTTTTATATCCCCTGCATAAGTACAATGAAGTATTAAACAGTTATTTATATCTTCCTTTTTTCTCCAGTAATCCTGCAGAGCTTCTTGGAACTCTTTTAATCACCTTTCATATTTCATGAGTTTTCCTGATGTGGGGAAACATGAAACTCAGAGGAGAAAGCTGATAGGATAATTCAAAAAAGGATGAACAGCCACAGGAGAAAAAGCTGTTCTAAATGTAAATAATTGTTAATCATATGGTCATGGCAATATGACTTGTGCCAGCTTCCCTGATTGGCAATTGTCAGAAGCACATGATCAGATGGAATCCCACTATGCCGTCTAATCCAGAGGCAGTCTGGCTATAAGACATGTGATACAGTTTTTACACTCAGCCAAGCTGCATGGGAACATTTGTCTCTCAGAGCTCGCTGAGTGAGGAGGGACTCAGCGAGAGCCGCTGCTCGCTCGGAGGCTGCCTCACACCGGAAGGATGCAGGCGATGAAAGAAATGATTTCAGTACAGTTAATTAAGAAGCGCTCCACATGTGCTTTTAAGATGCGTGGGGGAAAATGAATTCAGAGTCACTGGGGCAGCTCTTCAAGGTGAAGAACTGAAGAAGATTTGAATTCTCCTTTTTTTTCCTGATTCCAGCTGGACTGTTATTTCTAAAACACTGGACTGTTGCTATCAAAGTGTGGAGCAGCGAGGCAGAGTCAACAGAGTTCTATCCTCCAGCCAAAATCAGAGTTTCTGATGGGATCAACATAATCAGAAAAAATGGATGGATTTATGGCATACTGTTGAGATATTTGCAAACTGATTGTTGGGTTGCTCAGGTAAGACAATTCAGACACACACACACACACACTCACCTGTCTGGTTTCACTATTCCACACACACACACACACACACACACATATATATATATATATATATATATATATATATATATATATACATTTATATATATATATATATTGTTCTTCTTTATTAAAAAGACCATAAATTGTACTGAAAAAGAAATTATAATAAGAACAACTGAAGACGGAAATTAAACAACACAGAACAGTTGATAAACAATTTTTTTTTTACTTAAGTGTAGCATCATAAAAACTAATAATTAAAATAAATGCATTTAATAGTGAACATATAACAGATTACTTTACAAATTACAAACAGTTAAGTATTCTTATCCTTATTTGCCCAGAAACATTTCTCTGGACCTTTTTCTCACTGCTTCAACTGAAGAGCACGGTGAAACATTACTAGCCTTTTTGATTCCCGTTAACACCCTGTCACTGTCACATTATTCTGGCAGCAAGAGAAAAGGCTCTGCAGCTTGCGAGATCTTATCTTTCTTTAAGTTTGATTTTTCTTTTAGTTGTGAGGCAGAGGAGCACAGCTCAGGAGCTGGCGAGTCAGCCTGTCAGGGGAAATCTGTGCTGCATGGTAAAAAGTCCTCAGGGATCACACCAAATTTGCTGTGCTGTGGCTTGAGGACAAGACAGGGCAAACTGGAAAGAAAAGGTGAAGATTTTATACTTATGTAAAGATCTACATACATCTTACGGACAAAAAACAAACAAACAAAAAAAAAATGGATAAATAAAAAAAAAAAAGACAACAAAAAACTGTTTGCACTGAGGTATATACCAAAAAAAAAGTTTGGATTTAATATAATTTGTATTTGCACTGAGGACAGGATATCATAAATAAAGAACATGATGCCTTGTTTGTTGATTCCACCTCTGCTGGTCCTCAGCAGATGTGTCCGGTCATGTCCTGGCTGCTCTGTCTGTGCCTCTGGGTCAGTGTAACGGCCATCCTGCTGTGTCAGGCTACATTCTACGAGACCATACAGCAGCATCCTGGGACAAGGCCTGGCCGGACCACAATTCACATGATAGGTGAGTGCATTCTCTTTTTTCTCTGGTAACTAAACATTCAAAGAAAAACATGCATTTTTTGGTTTTGCTGTTATTATCTCTTTCTAATTACACTCTGCCATGAAGTGACAGTAGTATCCATTCAAAATTTCCCACTTTCCTTGATGGGCCCTTGGCTGGTCCATAGTTGGTCCCCTACAATTCCTTTTTAAACATCAATCTTTGTACTGAAATATTGTTTCTGTGATGATTTGTGGAGATTAAGATCTGAAAAGAAGCATCATTTCCTGGTTAGACGCAGTAATTCAGTGAAAGGTTGGGATCAGATTAAAAAAAATGCACGCCCAGGAAAAGGCAAGTGGCTGGAAGTTGGAGGGGATTTTGCTGGGAGTTGCAGGGGAGTAGGCTGCCATTCGGCTGGCATTTGACTTCAAGGGCCATTTTGAATGGCTGCTACTGTATTACGTTTTGACCTAATGTGTTTGGTAGAAAGCAAATTAAGTAGTATATAACCAGCATTGGCTTGGAACCATATATTGAAGTTGATATTACATCACTCCTTACCTTGACGTGTTCTGGTAGTAAAAAATATGGCACACAGGCATGCTTCGGTGGCGCAGTGGTTAGCGCCCACATCCCATGTATGGAGGCCTTAGTCCTTGACATGGCTAACCCGGGTTCCAATCCGACCCGTTGTCTTTTGCCGCATGTCTCTTTCCTGTCCCCTTTCCTGTCAGCCCACTGTAAGAAAATGGATCGACTAGTGCTGTAAAAACCTCAAAAAAAAAAAAAAAAGTGGTACATGTGTCTGTAGGAAATCTAGAGGATCTTTCTAAAAATTATTAACAGTCTCTTCTTTATGCTTATGCATTCTGAGGAGTGCATGTATACCTGGATCAATGGTGGTAATTATATTGTTCAACTGTGTCCAGAGCACTTATGTTGCTTTACCATGACTTCACTATCTCACTTATTGAACTCTTTCAAATGAACTGAGCAATTAAAAGCCAGGAGTGAAAATTAATTTAATGCATGTCCTCACAGTGGTCAACTTTTCGTAAAATGTATGCATTTACTTTCAAGAAGAACGTTCACCAAAACGTTTACTTGATGACAAAGCGACTTAATTTTAGTCGACTTGCATCTGAACAACTCAAAAGTTGCGGGCGTGGGCCTGCATGAAAATGTGCATGCGGCATGCAAACCTGGTCTCGAATTGGCGTAGTCTATGGGCTCAGTATAGCCCACATCCTACAGGTAACCAATGAGCATTTCCTTTGACAAAAGCAAGCATGTAGCTTAGGTTAAACAGCAGGATGTCCATGTGTTTCTTTCCCCTCTTCTGCATGGCTGCACCCCCCGCCCGCACTCCCTATGATGATGTCATAGAACAAGGCATTGACTTTGACCAAAAAAATAAATAAAATAAAAATCACAACACGTTAATTCTCAAGTTCCAGCGACCCGCATTAGGGAGTCTGCATAGCATAGATTAGGCAACATTAATATTGGGTCATTGCCGTGATATTTGAGCTACAGCTGTGTTAAAGGCAATAACACAACCATTCAGAGCCTATATCTTTTGATGAACTTTAATTGCAGTATGCATAGCTAAGCACACGCTGTGTTTTGGGAAAAATCTCCATGACAAGTTCCCTTCTGTAAGCCTGTGCTGAAGAGAAGCTGTTTGGTTTACAGAAACACAAACAGGACCAAGGTTTCCAGAAACTTATTTCTATTAAAGTATCTGTTCTGGTGGAGTAAGAACCAGGACTGATCGCCCTGTTTGGATGGCAGGTTTGGCTGAGGTGCTTTAGATATCTATTATTCATCATCATACTATAGGCCATGTTGTCTAGGCTTAAGAAAAGCTTTTTATATCCTTTTGCCATCTTTGAAGCTTTTGTTGCTGTGTTAAAAACCACCTGAGATCCAAACCTAGTATAATCACGTACAATCACAAAAGTTATGAAAATATTTGATGAAGTTTAAAAAGTTAGTGATGGTTTGAAATTGTTGGGAATCTATTTGAAGTAAACTTTAGTATGCCACTGTCAGCTTTAATCATATTGAATATAATTTCCAGGAAACAACATTTTGGCTAATGAAAATCCTGAGTAGCTAGTGACTTTGAAAAACCTCTAGCTGCTGTGGCAGGTCAGTCCTATCGTAGTTCATAAACACTGTGGTTGCTTAAGTGATGAAGACTAAAATCTTTTAATATAGCTGAAATTACCTTCAGTTTAATAGATCCTTTTTCACACTTGGGTTGTTTATTAAGATTCAATTTTAATAGTAAGAGAAATGCTATTCAGAAGATCACACATATAGACACCGAATGCCCCTGTGCTTTCCTTTTTAAGCTGTCACAGTTGATATTCATGCTAGAATGCTTTCTCTCAATTTGATCTGTGCGATTGTATTCCCTGTGAAATTGCATTGAATGAAAAATGACCCAACCATTGCGGGCAAACTTTTGTTTTTCTTATGCAGGGACGTGGGGCCCTGCTTATGGTAAATAATTACGATCTCAGCACTCGGAGATACGAACAAAGCTCAATGCTCTCAGAACTTCAAAGGCTGATGTTGCTTGCATGTGTGCGTGCAGTTCCTCTGTTATTTCACATCTCAAGCATATCAGCAAGAGGTCTTTTCAATAGACTCAATATTGTGAGTCAGAAGTTTTCATGTTTCAACACCCTCATTTTATAAGATGTATAGGTGTGTGCTGGAAGAAGAAGAAATGTAATGGAAGACATTCACAAACAGGATACATCCTCAAAAGTGGTCTCCTGTCAACAAAGGCAAATGGAATTAATATTTCAGATGTGCAGACAGGTAAGTCTGAAAAAAAAAAAAAAAATCCAGTTCAGTACAAACAGTTTAAATCATTCAGGATTCTGTGTCACAGAAATTGTAAATGCTGTGTCATTCCATTTACCATAGTCTTAACTCCTGGATAGATGAGATGCCAGCTTTATGAGAGGAGGATTCGGTGGCTGTCTGGATTGTTTCTGACACTGGAACATTTGTTCTGTGTCGTGTGTGTTGTGTGCCTGGTGGATTGGTGGGAGGATTGGGGTTGACGGGTCATGAATTGGTGGCAAAAAGGCCATTGGTTGCAGACCATTGGGCCAATCATTAAAGGCAGCAAAATGCCACAGGTTCACGGTGGCTGGTATTGCCAGAGGAAATCGAGATTACAGAGGGCGACAGATCAGTTGTGTCCTTGCCAATAGAAATTTAGTTCCACAGGGAGAAGTATCAAAGTCATTCTTCTGCAGTGTTTGGGGGAGCTGCAAAACTGTGACCTGGTATATGAACTTTTTAAAGGCGTTGGCGATTTTAGGCATTTCTAGTAAATATTAGTTTTTATTATTTAGATACCCCCCAAAGAAAATTTCAATACATAACATAAATACA